AATTTCCATCAATGTACAAATCCCTACAAAGCGCAATAGTTTTTTTTTTTTTTCAACACAACTTGAAAAAATTCTCTGCTTTCTGCAAAATGTTAAAACTTTCAGACTCTCCTTTATCTATAAGAAGTTAATTGACGAAGGTGGAATCGACATCCTATACATAGATTTACAACCAATAAAATCAGTGAAGTACACAGAAAAGTATAACTGAATGTTTCTATTGTGCAGGATAAAGATAAACATGAATGCTGCTCAAGAGAAAGCTCCTGAGTCGAACTCCATACAATTGTCTTCTATACCGCCTGCCTTAGTAGATTCAGGTCCTCCCCTTGTTCAGTCAGTTACCATGACTACTGGACAATAGCCACATACAGTTTCTAAAGGGAGCTTGCAAAGAGACTTCATAGTATTAGTCGGTCAGCAGTACACTTAGAATGGTAATAAAGCGAAAATTTAGGTTTAGTTAATTTATATGCAACTGCTGTAATTCAATAAGTGTACATTTTGTTCCAGAATTTATAATATTTTGGAGAAACATATATTGTGCACTATATGAAATGTAGCAGAGAGTGTCACCTGTTGACATGAATTTCCATCAGCAAGACAGAGTCGTGAATTACTCTGTGGACGCGAAATAGCACATTGAAAGAGCGATATTATACCTTGAAAGTAAACTTTTTATTTTGAGAAAATTGCGGTTCTTGGAGATTTCACTTCTTTTTCCGGGGTTATCTTGCTTCAATATTTCTTAATCTGAATAAATCAGAAGATGATTTCGCGAAATGAACTCTTTCACAGTTCTTAATTCCGCTTCTGGATCTCCCTTAACTTCTAATCTTTACTGTTAAAACTTCACCATCGATTGTTACTCCTATTGTTTTACTGCTCATAGATTTTCCAGTTAGATTTCAGCTAAGGGTCCGTTTGATTGCAAGGGTGGAAAATGAGTGGAAATAAAATGAATTCTAGGGAAAGTAAGTGACCGTTCTCTTTGTGTTTCAGTTTTTTGTTTTGAGTTTTGAATTCATTTTGTGTTTTGTGTTTTGAGTGTCTGTTTTGAAATTTCTGAAAATGTGTCCTTTTTACCATTCTGAAAAACTGTTTCTGAAAACATAAAAATGGAAAACACGTTTACTTTGAAATTTTGAGAATTTTTTTAATAATATTTTATTCAAAAAAACTGATTATTCAATAAATTTTAATTGTTTAATGTTAATATAGTATTACATAACATAAAAATTTTGATTAAAATATTCAACTCTCTTT